CTGAAGGATGAAGGAAGAATGTTGCTCCTACCGAGACCATTCAGGAGTTATAAGAGATAACATGGCCAAGATCAGAGAGGGACTAGATGCCAGACATAAACAGAGGCAGGAAATGCAGAGGTGGTTCGAATCTTTGTTCAACAAATCCCCATGGCTGACTACGCTCATCTCCACTCTCCTAGGCCCTCTCATAATTCTGTTTCTGATACTCACTCTAGGGCCATGCATTCTTAATAGACTAGTGCAGTTCATAAAAGACAGGTTAGGCACCATCCAACTTATGGTGCAGAGACAACAAGCTTATATGCCCCTTAGGACAGACCTCCCAGACACTTATGAACTAACTGACCAGAACCCATGATTGTGTTCCCCAGATACAAGACAAGGGGGGATTGTAGGACCCAGAGATCCTCCCATGCAACCCCTTCCGACACCACACTGGTTGCTCTTTTCAGCTTCTGTGTAATGCTTGAAATGCATGCCTGCTGCTACTCCTCCCCTGCTGTTCCCCTTCCAGGAAACTATAGATTAGATAAACCCGGTATGAACACTGCTCTATAGAGTGAAAATAAAGACTCCTGACCACACAGATGGCCAGCACATTCCACAACCCTGATAACACCCACCAAAAAAAAAAAAAATCTCCACGACCGCATCCTGTACAATCGATCAGTTCAAAGGTGTGTTGGCACGAGCAGGACTCTTGGACCAACCACAAAGTGACACTGTTATTCACCTCCTCCCTTTGTCTCTAACCTATAAAGAGCCCTTTCTTCCCCCACCCGGGGCTCTTAGCACCGTTCCGTTATATCGGTTAGGTCTGAGAGCCCAGCTTAAGCCTGAATAAACTATAAACCTTGCTTTTGCATTTTTGGTGTGTTGGCTCCTTGGTGGTCTTCTTGGGGTCCTGTGAATGAGGTATAACAGTGACAAAACGGGAAAGGTGGATTCGTTCTGAAGACCAAAGAGTTAGTTCCAAAGCAAAAGGTATAGAGGTGAAAGAGAATCAACTGCTCAGGCTCACGGCCGGGATGATTCAAGAAATGCGTTCAGTACCTTTGGCGAAGACAAAAGCATAAGTAGAACAGAGTCCATCCACTGGGAGAGGGGCTGAAATTGATGGTCGTAGGAGGGAAGTTGTGAGGGAATGGGAGGAAGAACGGACAAGAGGGAGCCTACTGAGAGTCCTAGATGACAGATCAGCCCGGAGAGTAAGAACACCGTCAGAGGAAGACAGGTTGGAGGTGGACGTCAGGCTATTAAAACGGGCCCAGAAGAAGGTTTTCCTTACTAAAACCCAGGTAGAGTTGATGTTAATGAAGGTCCAGGAGCAAAAGCTGTTAAAGAAGAGGCAGCTAGCAGAGCTTTGCCAGAGATTTGAGTTGAGCAAAACAGAAAAGATCCAGATGTCGTGGTTGTTAAAGAATGTCAGAGAGAAACTCTTTGGAGTCATCTGAGCGCTTGGCTGATGAGGAAATCGAGGAGGGTCTAACTTACCCAGGAGAAGGGGTGCCTAAGAAGAAGGCAGAGGAGACCCCAGAGGAAGGGGAAGAGGAGGAGATCGGATCCAAGAAACGGGAAAGGAGCTATCTGAAGGAAAAGGTCAGTTTGAGTGAAGAGGAATTAGAAGAGAACTTGGCTGAGGAGCAAAAGAGAGTTTGATCCAAAAAAGGAAAAAGAAAGAGATTGACTGAGAAGAAAAAGAGGCTTAGTGCAAAGGACCATCCAGGTGAGGAAGAGGAGGAACTCCTCATCCAGCAAGAGTGGGGGCACCTGAGTAAGAAGGGGAAGGACAAGTAGGAGGAGGATCAGGAGGAAGAAGAGAGCTTGAGCAGGAAGGAACTGAGACTTAGTGAACCAGAGGGCCTGCCCAAGGAGTCCTGTCCCAGTGAGGAAAGTCTCATTGAGAAGGAATTGAGTAGCAGTGGGGAAGGGAGACTGCATGAGGCGAAGGGGATAGAGGAAGAGGAGAGGAAGGAGGAAGAGGAGGAGGAGGAAGAGGTGGGGGAAGAAGAGAAGGAGGAAGAGGAGGAGAGTGAGCAGAGCAGACTTACAGGGGTGATGCTTTCAAAAGAAGAAAGACTGTTGACATCAGAGGTGGGCTTATCCAAACCACTAAGAGAGAGAGTGCTAGGAGAAAAATGCTTTCTAAGAAAGAGGGCTTGCTTGATAGAAAGAGAGAGTCCAGATTTCAGAAGATTCCCCTAAAAATACCTCTCCAGGTAGCCCCAGAGAAAAAAGAGGAACACCCCTGAAAGTATCAGTGGGTCGTGTGGATTTGAAAGAAAGACTGTACAGTCAAGCTCTTGGCGGACTACTCACGACAAGTTCATTGGGAAGACAAGAGACTGTGGTCTTAGAGAAAGGTAGGAAGGGTTTTTCACAAGCCATGGAAACTGACTTAGAGACTCAAATCCCAGAAGTTCTCCACAGACCACAGTTCCAATTACCTATTATCATGAAACTACAGAAGCCTAAAGGTGGCAGCTGGAAATGGATTTTGCAATATCGGGATGTTCCAATGGAGGAAACTAACGATCAGGTTGTACCTCCAACCCCTGCCTTTTCTCCTGAAAAGCCAGCTGGAAGATATGAAAGACCAGTTGACATGGAAGCAAGCATCTCAGTTGAGGACTGGATTAACAAGGTCTTAAGAAAGCTGGAAACAGGAGAACAGCTTTCTAGGGACAGTGTCCATCGACTGAGCCAACTCCTCAGAAACTTCAAGAAAATACCAGAAAGGGATACATGGCTCCAAGCTTGAGACCATTGTTCAACACTTAGGACTGGACTTAAGTCACACTGGCATATCACAACCCTGTAAGGATGTTTTGAGTCTAGTGCACTTAAAAGTGATCCCTCCAATGAAAAGAAAAATAGAGCTGGAAGAAGTCATTCTCCATCCCCGAGTCAGTGTTAATATCGACCACCAAGACTCAAACCCCAGAAGCTTTCAGTTGGCCTCCCTTGACCAAGCCCTACAGGGAAAACAGGCTCAGCAGTTCTCCACTGCTGTCAAGGAAACAAAACACCTTTATCCAATCAGAAGGGATGTTCCCAGAGCTACTGATCCCTTTGTGGATAGAAATTCCCTGGCCTTGATGTTTAAGAAGGACTGCCAAGTCTCAAGGGGGAGGGTAGAGCTCCCCACATTTTCCAAGGTGAAGATGACGATGATGCCTGTCACTGTACCAATGTCACCATCTATCCCCAAGAAGATTACAGACTCAAAGGTTGTAAATTGGCATCTTCTGGGAGAGCCATACTGAAGTACAAGGATACAGCAGTTATCTAATGCTCTCAAAGAGATGGAAACAAGACATCTTTATCCTGCCGAAAGAGACGTTCTCACAGGTGCCCGTGAGTATGTGGAAAAACAGACCTTAGCACTGATGTTTCAAAAGGATCTCACAGCTTTTAAGAGAAAAGGCAGGTATCCCAAATTGCCCAAACTGGAGAAGACAAAGCCCATCTTGGAAAAAAAAGGAAGACGTACCACCATGGAGGACATTTGTGGCACTCTACCATGTTTCATGGATGCTGCAGCAGAAGTATGCCAAAGGCACTGCTGCTTGGATGGAACAGTTCCACCAGCTCACGGACCTGTACCAGCTTAAGTCCCCCTGAATCCAGAGGCTGCTACAGGACCTGCTATGGACAGAAGAACCTCGATCCCAAAAGGTCATCTCGGAAGAGGCCCTGAAGGCCATGGAGCTGGTGCCCGGGGAGCGGTTATTCTGCCGTCTGTTTTGTGGTGGATCCCAAGCTCCTGTCTTTTTGGAAACAGGGTCTCCCTGTAGTCCCAGGTGGCCTGGAACTACACTATGTAGACCAGGCAGACCTTGAACTCACAGAGATCCACCTGCCTCTGCCTCCCAAGTGCTGGGATTAAAGGCGTGCGCCATCATGCCTGGCCCAGAAGTTTTTTTTACAAAGTTTATTAGTTGGATGTGGTTGCCCAACGTTTAATTTCAGTACTCAGGAGGAAGAGGCAGGTGGATCTCTGTGGGTTCAACATCAGCCTGGTCTACATAATGAGTTCAAGGCCAGACAGGGCTACATAATGAGACCCTGTGGACTGAAGTGCACAGAAGAGGAAACACACCACTACAGCTAGAAAGTAGAAACAGAGGGCTGTGTGTGAGTGTGTGTGTGTGTGTGTGTGTGTGTGTGTGTGTGTGTATGCCACAGCACACATTTAGAGGTCAAAGGACAACTTGTCAGAGTTGATTTTCTCCTTCCCCACTGTTTGGGTTCTGGGGACTGAACTCAAGTCATCAGGCTTGGCACAAGCACCTTCACCCACAGAGCCATCCCATTGGCCCTAATTTCAGATTTTTTATTGAGTTTCAGAATATTTGCACCTATACAATTAGGTATATTGGAGCTTGAACCAAGTGTATCAGAACATGAAGTCCATTTATTTTCATATACAAATGATCTAAAGGTATTATTTTATATTTTATTGATTTTACCTTTTAAAAAAATTCCATACTTTATTCTCATAGTGAAGTGGAGCAACGAGCCACCAATTACAAAATTGCATGATTCTGTTCCTCAGTGGGTCTTCATGGAGGATCTGATTGGTCACAAGACGTTGAGCATGGCTGCTGGTGGCTGGGGGGTTCTGGGACCATGGCAGGAAGTGGGTGTGGAGCTGCCCATGGAGGGTTCATGCTCCAGGGCTGCCACTGGGATGCCAGAGGATCCTGCACCTTGGAGTACACAGGAGTTGGGAGGTGCCCAGGAGGTTGCAGGAACTCTGGAGCCTGAGATAGAGCGGCAGCACTATCACTGAATTTACCTGAAGGCTGCCCTGCTTCCTGGCTTCCATTCTCTTCATTTGGTGCCAGGACATTTGCCAAACTTCCATTCTGACGTGCTGCTGTCACCATTTTCTCTCTTGAGCTGTGTCCTATTTCACAATGGCCTAGGAACCAGAGCTGACTGTGTCCTGATGGATCAGCAGAGTCCAAAGTGGAGAGGGGAGAACTATGTTCTCTCCTTGGGCTTCTGGAAGTCTATTTTTACATTTTATGCATATGAGTGTATTGCCTGCATGCAAGTGCACCTGTGTTGTGCAATGCCAAAGAGGTCAGAAGAGGGCATGGGAGTCCCCTGTACCAGAGTTATGATAGTTGTTAGCCATCACGTGTGTGATGAGATTCAAACCTCTTCAAGGGCAGACAATGATCTTGATTACTGAGCCATTTCTCCAACCCCCTAAAGATACTTTTTAACTTTTTTTTTTTTTTGCCTTTTTGAGACAAGGTCTCCCTATAGCCCCAGCTGTCCTGGAACTCACTACATAGACCAGGCTGGCCTTGAACTCAGAGATCCGCCTGCCTCTGCCTCCCGAGTGCTGGGATTAAAGGCATGAGCCACCACACCTGTCACTTTTTAACATTTTTAATTTTAATTTTATTTATTATTTTAATTTTATGTGTATGCGTGCATTGCCTGCATGTAGGTAAGTGCACCTGTGTTGTGCAATGCCCCTGGAGGTCAGTAGAGGCTATCGGATCCCCTGGGACTGGAGTTGTAGATGGTTGTTAGCTGTCATGTGGGTGCTGGGATTCGAACCTGGGTCTTCTGCAGGAACAACTAGTGTTCTTAACCACTGAGCCATCTCTCCAGCCCCCTAAAGATACTTTTATACAATGTAGTCATATGACACACTAGGTCCATACTGAACCTATATGACAGTGGTTCTATAAGCTTATGTTACCTAGTTATATAATAGCTCAGTTATTGTGGGTATAGTCTATGTTTGCCCAACAGAAAAATTGGGTAATGATGTATTTCTCAGAACATAGTCCTGTCCTTAAGTGATATATGACTGTATTTTTTAAAAAATTTTGTTTTTATTTTATATGTATGAGTTTATTACTTGCATTTATGTAAGTGTACCCATGTTGTGCAATGCCTGTGGAGGTCAGAAGAGGGCCTCAGAAGCCCTGGAACTGGAGTTACAGATGGATGTTAGTCACCATGTAGGTGCTGGGATTTGAACCCATGTCCTCTGCAAGAGCAGCCACTGCTCTTAACCGCCAAGCCATCTCTTCGGTTCCATGACTGTATTTTTAATACACATATTCTAACCTGTCATATGAGGTCAGGTGTGAAATTTTATATCATTATGTTGGTACTCAAAAAATTTCAGATTTTGATCCAGCTAGATCACTCCTGAGCATGTAGGAATCTAAGTCTGCATACAACAGAGGTACTTACACGTGCTTGTTTACTGCAGCACTGTTCACAATAGTCAAGTTATGGAATCACTTTAGATATTTGTCTACAGTTGAACTGATAAAATATAGCATCTGTGATGGCTAATCCTGGGTGTCAACTTGACTGGATCCAGGATTAACTGAAATGAGAGAGATCTTCTTGATTGGATCATGTGAAGCTGGAAGACACACCCTAACTGTGGGTGTTACCTTCTGATGGCAGCCGGTGTAAAAGGCCGTGGCAGGGGAGAGCACTTGCTTCTTGCTGCTTGCCTTCTCTCTCGCTGGTGAGTTTGTTTGCTGCTGTAGACTGAAGACTAGCTGATCTTTTGGAATTCGTCAGACCTTCAGTGCCAGATTGGGACGACTGAGACATCCAGCCTTGTGGACTGAGCGACTACGGATTCTCAGCCCAGCCTCTCCAGTGTGGTGCAGCCATTGTTGGACTACTCAGACTCTATCCTGTGAGCTAAGCTGATAAATCCATATATATATATGAAATATATGACATATATATTCATTCTACCAGTTCTGTTTCTTTAGAGAACCCTGATACAGCATCTATACAAAATGGAATTCTATTCAGCGTAAAGAAAAAAATTCCATCATTTTCAAGAAAATAGAGCCAAAGCTCATCGTGTTAATAAGCCAGAATCAGAAAGACAAATAGCATGTTTTTTCATATGACAAATCTAAATCTAAAAAACATAAAACATGAAAGCAGAAACTATTTAGGAAGAAGAAGGGGACCAGTGGGAGCTGAGGATAAGAGAGGCTAGCAGGGTAAATATCACCCGAGCATATGGTGTACATTATGTGTGTTTTAATGTGTACAATATTAGATTTAGGACAGAGAAAGAATAAAGTTAAGGTAAAAGACCAGAGCCAGACCTTGCAACAGACAGAACAGGGTTTATTCAACACAGGTCCTCAAAAAAGCAAGCTGTGCAAAGGTGTGAGGGGGTGGTGCTGAATTATATATGACTAGAAAATAAAGAAGGCACACACACACACACACACACAGATGCAGAACAAGGAAGCTGTTTAGTTAGGCTGTGGCTGTTAGATTTAGAAGAACAGAAAGGAGTTTAAAGTTTAGAAATAAGAGCCAGAGCCAGACCTGCCACAGGCAAGGAATGTGTCCTTTATATTCAGAGGACACAGCAAAGGACCAAAATCTTTCTATGGGATAAAGGCATCTGCACTGAAGGAAGGGGCAGTTTGGACTTTTATAGGAACTCAGTTGAACACAGCTGTGTGTTAACTCCGTACCAGGGTCTGGTGTCCTTGAGGGTCTCTCCCAAGATTATTTTCTCAGACAGGCAAGCTATCTTAGGGCACTAAATGAAAAAGTCTGGCTCCATAACAGTCTCCCTCACTCCAGGAGTGACCAGTTGATAAGCTTGAACAAGGCTAGCCTGCCAATTTAGAGCCAGTTAGCCACTTTAGGGGATTTATGGTTATATTGCTCTTCTAATTAGGCTCATGGCTGTTTACACAGTCTATCAGTGGCTAGTTTGATAACTGGGGTGCAAGGACAGAGGAGAGATGTCCTGGTAAGAGGAGTGGGTTGTCTGGCTTACATAAGCTGTGGCACTCCATCAGGCCTGAGATAGGGATGTGACCAACTATTAGCAGTGGGCTAGGGCGAGACATTTGTCTCAGGGAACTTTTTATTTTTTTGGTCCTTTTGAGACAGGGTCTCCCTGTAGCTGATCTGGACCTGCTATGGAGACCTAGCTGGCCTTAAACTCACAGAGATCCACCTGTCTCTGCCTCCCAAATGCTGGGATTAAAGGCCTATGCCACCACGCCTGGCTGGAACTTCTGGTTTCTATCATACAACAACATCAACTAAATTAATCCTCTTTAACTCAGATTTAGTGGAGCTGGGGACAGAAAAACAAGATAAATGGACTTTAATAAACTTAAGTATTGCCTCATATGAGGGAGGCCTAAGTTTGATTCCTAGCACCACTGGGAAAATAAAAAGAAGTTTGTTTGTTTGTTTGTTTGTTTAGAGAAAGGTAGCCCTGGCTGGCCTGGAACTCACTATGTAGACCTGATGAGGATCAAACTCACAGGGATCTGCCTGGTTCTGTGTTGGGTAGCAGTTTCCTCCAAGATAATAAACCTTTTGTCTTGGAGGGAAGCTGGGTAAACACCAGGGTATTCTAAAAGGAGGTAAACAATAATATGTTTGGAGAGGAAGTGAAATATTCCATCCTGCCAGGAAGCTTTAAGCTCAGGCAGTAAATAACTCCATAGCTTTAGGAAGTCCCTGAAAATGAGTAGATGTACTAGTTCCCTCCCTTCTCCAGCATAGATAAACCCTAGAAACTGCTGACAGCCACTCGTTAGACCAGCCTGGAAGAGGCTCACCTGAGCTACCTGGAAAGGACACTCTCCAAACAGTTGAGCTGCCTGCCTGTTGTGCGTGCCAGGTTTCCTGTTTTTGTGAGTTGTCACCCCTGATGGAATGGGCTTTTGGTGATGCAGCTTCCTTTGAGTAAACTTCGGCTCCTATAAGTGAGCCCTTGCCTGTAAGTAACCCCAATAAAACTCCTTGGTTCACCAAGTTGGACTTTGATGGTATCCTTACTTTGATCTGTCACTGGTACCCTATTTGAGGTGAGAACATATTCTCACCCTCCAGAAATGATATCACACAACACTCTGCCTCCTTAGTACAGTGATTAAAGGTGTGCACCACCATGCCCAGCTTACTAATTAAAAATTTCTTTTTGCTGGGGATGGTGGCACCCACCTTTAATCCTAGCCTGGTCTACATAGCAAGTTCCAGGTCAGCCGTGGCCCTGTCTCAAAAAAACCAAAAAAATTCTTTTGATTATTTTTATTTTATGTGTATGACTATTTTTGCCTGCACATCTATGTATGCACTGCAGGCATGCCTGGTGCCCACAGAGGCCAAAAGAGAGTGAGGAAATATTTTGGCTTGCTGTTTCAGAGGGTTTAGTCCATAGATATTTGAAGGCTCATGAGGTTTGGCAGAATATGGTGGAGACAGTGTATGTAGAAGTACTCATTTTATGGAAGATAGAAAGCAGAGATGAGACAGAAAGAAACATGGAGAAAGGGCTGGGGAGATGCTCAGCATTTAAGAGCACTGGCTGCTCTTGCAGAAGACACGGGTTTAGTTCCCAGCACCCACATGGTGGCTAACAACTGTCCATAACTCCAGTTCCAGGGTATCCAACACCCTCTTCTGACCTCTCTGCAGGTACTGCATGACACGGTTCACTTACACACATGCAGACAATACACTCATACACACAGATCTCTCTGAGTTCAAGGCCAGCCTGGTCTACATAGTGAGTTCCAGGACAGCTGGGGCTACAGGGAGACTCTGTCTCAAAAAAAACCACCAAAACATTTTTTTAATTTTTAATTATATATAAAAGTGTGTATGTCTGAGTGGGGTATAGGCACTCAAGTGCAGGTGCCCTTGGAGCTCAGAGGCATAGGATCTCCCTGGAACTGGAGTTACAGGCAGTTGTGAGCTGCCTGATATGGGTGTTACCTTGGGTCATCTGGAAAAGCAGTAGGT